GGCCATCCTGATGGGCGCTGTACTTGGCAGGCTGTGCTGGAAAGCAAGTGGCCATCTGGTACACCAGGTGGACGCTTGCGTTGGGCCAAGCTCCGGAATGTTGTCCTGGGGGCTGCTCAGTTCCGTCAGCCTCTGAGAGACCGGCAGCGGCGGCAGCAGCAGCAGCAGCAGCAGCAGGTGTCAGCACACCAAGAGGCTGGCAGTTCCCAGACAGGTGGGCAGGGACTGGTGAGCAGGCTTAGGGAGGGGCAGCAGGCTCTTGGAGAGCCAGAGCTGGCTTCGCGGTCGGCATGGGCTTTCAGAGAATGGCTAAGCTACACTCAACTGGTAACAAAAGAGAGAAAGTTCTGCCTGTGGGGAACCCTGCCAAGCCAGGTCCCTCCGCGGAGGTCTGTTGGGGTTTCTAGCTCGCGGCCTCTAAATCCCTTCTCTGTCCTCCAGAGTCCTATCTGGAACGCCCTTCCCCGACCCGTCCCCTTCAGCGCCAGACGACTTGGGCTGGGCGAAGTCTGAGGGACCCGGCCTCACCCACTGGGCGCCTAGTGAAGAGTGGCAGTTTGGGCAGTGCCCGAGGAGCCCAGCCCACTGTAGAGGCCGGTGTGGCCCACAGTAAGTGCCCTGGTCTGGTCCTCCTCTTCTCTTCCCCACAGTCAGTTTTCCTAACCACTTGCAAGAAAGGAGAAGAACCAGGGCCAGAATTCTGGAAAAGTGGGCCTGTGTGGTGGGTAACTGTGTACTCTGAGGAGTCAAAATGTCGTGGTGGGGTCAAGTGTCAGAGTTTACACAGCCGGAATCGTGTTACTCAAGAAGCAGGCAGCTGGAGGAGAGGCTGGCCTCCGCCTTCCCTGATTCTTTTTTTGTCCTGCAGTGATAGAGGCTTTAGGGGTCCTGGAGCCCCGGGGATCACCTGTGCCCTGGCATGATGGAAGTCTCTCAGACCTGAGCCTGACAGGGGAGGAGCTGGCACCTGGAGGCAGTCCAGGCGGCTCAGGCTTGGCCCTGAGTGCCCAGTCCACTGAGGCCCTGGAAGGGCTGAGTGTGCGAGGGCCCAAGGCTAGTGGGCGTCAGGATGAGGCAGCCACCCCCCGACGAGGGCTGGGTGCCCGCCTCCAGCAGCTGCTCACTCCTTCCCGCCGCTCCCCTGCTGCCCGCATTTCCCCATCAGAGATGCCCCCTGACCTGCCTCCCCCTGCCCGTCGCAGCCCAATGGAGAGTCTTCTGAGGCCCCGGGAGCGACCTGGATCCACTGCATCGGAGGTAGCCAGCCCCGAAGCTTCAGGAGGCCCCAGGAGGGGCCTGCAGGGTCGTTAGAGCTGGCATCCCTGCTGGAGAGGAGCGCGGAGCCAGCTGACAGGGTTTCCTTGTGTGATGGCAGAGCTCAGCCTCTCTGGGCAGTGAGTGGGACCTCTCAGAGTCTTCTCTCAGTAGCCTGAGCCTCCGCCGTTCCTCAGAGCGCCTCAGTGACACCCCTGGATCCCTCCAGCCACCTTCCCTGGAAGTGAGGATAACCGCCCCCCTGCAGTCTTCCCGGGAAAGGCAGGGTGGGGAGGAGGTCAAGGAGGGCTGGCTGGGATTTGGAGGTGGAAGGGCCAGGAGAGGGGCACTGAAGGCTGAGCCAGGCCTACTTCCTGGGGTCTCCTTGTCCACAGATTCTGCTCTCCAGCTGCTCCCTGTGCCGTGCCTGTGACTCACTGGTGTACGATGAGGAAATCATGGCTGGTTGGGCACCTGACGACTCTAACCTCAACACAACCTGCCCCTTCTGCGCCTGCCCTTTTGTGCCCTTGCTCAGTGTTCAGACCCTTGATTCCCGACCCAGGTGCCCAAATCAGGGCAAGTGCCGTGGGTGGGACAGGAAGGCAGTGGTCCAAGAGCTGACCCCTTCTGCTGTCCCCTTGCAGTGCCCCCAGCCCCAACCCTGCCCCTGCTGGTGCCAGCAGCAGCAAAGACGCCCCTGTTCCTGGGGGTCCTGGCCCTGTGCTCAGTGACCGCAGGCTCTGTCTCGCCCTGGATGAGCCTCAGCTCTGCAACGGGCACACGGGGGTAAGGGCTGGGCCAATGGGGCACAGAGTGGGAGCATGGAGCCTGTGTGGAAGGGTGACAAATAGATGGTACTGAGGGCAAGAGGCCTCCCAGAAGCCACTGGGGACAATGGCTTGGTGGCAGGCAGGGCACTGAATGGGGCCCTTGTACTCTGTGTCTGACAGGGTGCCTCTAGGCGCGTGGAGAGTGGGGCCTGGGCATACCTGAGTCCCCTGGTGCTGCGGAAGGAGCTGGAGTCTCTGGTAGAGAATGAGGGCAGCGAGGTTCTGGCACTGCCTGAACTGCCTGCTGCCCACCCCATCATCTTCTGGAACCTTCTGTGGTATTTCCAACGGCTACGCCTGCCTAGTATTCTACCAGGCCTGGTGCTGGCCTCCTGTGATGGGCCCCCACCACCCCAGGTCAGTATTTTTATGTGGCCTTCTTTCCTGTCTCCCAGCTCTGTGTCCTCTTCTTCTGTGTCTTTGACACTAAAGGAAGAGCCCAGGCTGTGGAGTCTGTGTGTCTGGCCGACTCCTGGCCCTTGCAGTTCACCACTCTGGGCCACAGTTTTTCATGTGTCATAAGCAGTGACATCACAGGGCTGTGGCACAGACACCTTGTGCAGCACTTGGTACCTAGGAAAGCACTCGTTAATGTTCATCTACTCACTCCACCAGTATTTATTGAGCATCTTTTAGGTTCCAGGCACAGTTTTCAGGCATTAGAGACGTAACCAATTACAAAACACATCCTTACTCTGCAGAGCTTACATTCTCATGGGAGTAGGTCCCTTCCCTCTGCTCGGTGTGTCCTGTAATGTCTGTCTGTCTCTTTGGACACCACCTGACTGGCTCTCCTGTCTCAGCTCGCCCAGGCCCCGTCTCCTTGGCTAACTCCTGATCCAGCCTCTGTGCAGGTGCGCCTGCTGTGGGATGTCCTGACTCCTGACCCTAGCAGCTGCCCACCTCTCTATGTGCTCTGGAGGGTCCACAGTGAGTCTGGTATCTGACATAGGGATGGGAGGGGTGAGTCCCACACCTAGAAGGCTCAGTCATCCTGGTGACCTTTCTTCCTTCACCCAGGCCAGATCCCTCAGCGGGTGGTGTGGCCAGGCCCCGTACCTGCGTGTCTCAGCTTGGCATTGCTGGAGTCAGTGCTGCGCCATGTTGGGCTCAATGAGGTGCACAAGGCTGTGGGGCTCTTGCTGGAGACTCTAGGGCCCCCTCCTGCTGGCCTGCACCTGCAGAGGTACGATGCTCATCTGAGGGTCCCTGATCGGCACCAGCTTCACACCTCTTTTCTCTGGCTTACACCCTTCTGCCTCTGTACAGGGGTATCTACCGCGAGATCTTATTCCTGACAATGGCTGCCATGGGCAAGGACCACGTGGACATAGGTGAGGGAGCAGGCGGGGGACTGAGGAGTTTAAGGACCCTGGGCCAGGAGTGAGAGGCTGGGGTCCTAATGCACTGATTCCCACCCTCTTCCCTAGTGGCCTTCGACAAGAAGTACAAATCCGCCTTCAACAAGCTGGCCAGCAGCATGGGCAAGGAGGAACTGAGGCAGCGGCGCGCACAGATGCCCACTACCAAGGCCATTGATTGCCGAAAATGTTTTGGAGCACCTCTGGAATGCTAGGGACCCTTAAGCTTCCCTCTCCAGTCTATGGTGGGGAGGCGAGGGAGCAAGGATTCTATAGACAAACTGCTTCTCTGTTCCCTTCATAGAGGACTTGGGAACAGGCTGGGAAGCCTGTTCAGCCATAGGCTCCAAGTGGGGCCAGCAGAAAGGGGGACCCACTGTTACCAAAAGTCACAATTCCCCCGTCTCCATCCTGCTAACCCTTTCATGTCAGTGTTGGGAGAGCTGGGGAGCCGGTGCAGCTCTGTCCCTCCCCGAGCCTATTCCAGGAACTCTCACCCAGGGCACCCACAGATCTGCACTGCCCTGGTTACTTTAGAAGTTTTTGTTTTAAAAAACAACTGGAAAGATACAGAGCTACTGAGCCTTTGCCCAGATGAGAGGGGGGATCTCATCCCACCAGTGGTGGTCCCCCTTCCCTGGCATTGCTGAAGGAGCCCAAGGCTCTCCATGCCTTTCTACCTTAGTGTTTGTATTTTATTTTAAGTTATTTATTCTGGAGCCACAGCCCCCTTGCTAATGAGGCTCTAATGGAGAGTGAGAAAGAGAAGGGAAATGGGGCACCGAGGTCTGTAGCTCCCTGAAAGCCAGGCAGTGGGAGCCAGGGGAGCCCCAGGACCCCCTGAGGAAGAACTGGTGCCTCCTGCAGTCCTGATCTTTCCTGTCCACTCCATCTTGGGAAGTGCCCCACCCACCCAGGGCCCTGACCTGTGCAATAAGAATTGTCCCCTGCAAAGTTTTGTTGTATGTAAATATAGTAAAAGCTGCTTCTGTCTTTTTCCTTCTGTCTCCCTTTTCCTGGGTCTGGATGATAGTGGGGGATGCTTATGCTGCGCCTTTCTCTTTTCCACCTCTGTCCTTTGCAACCTTCAGGTATACCCTGCTTCTCCTGGCCCCTTGGTCTGGTACTGGCCCCTTGGGGCACAGGGAGTTCTTAGAGCAGGATGGGGGGGAATCTGGTGCTGCTATGGCAGTGCCAGTCTGTGTGGCACTTCCAGCCCTCCCACACAATCACCCCCTTGTCCCTCATCTGTACCCCACACAAAGGCTCCATTCTCTGGGGGCCTTGAGCTCATCTTTGCCTTATTTCCTCTCCCCTAACTTGCCCCCCGACTTCTCCAGTACCTCCACAGAGATGACAACCCTTTCCCCAGTAGTTGGTGTTGGCGGCCCTCACGTGTCCTGGGGGACTTGGCATTCAGTCATTCTCGTCCTCCCTAGTTGCTCTATTTGCAGGCAGTATTCTTCTGCTCAGGGTCTCAGCCTGGGGACAGCACTGGAAAGAAAGGGGCTTCTTGTGCTGTGAACATCAGGGAGATGGGCATCATTTTCTAATCCCTTGGCCCACTCAACGCTCTCCTTTTTTTCCCTATATAAGAAATAAACAGGAAACAATTCCTAACAGAGCTGCAAAACCATTTACCAAAGGGAGTCAGCTAACAAAACAAATGCCTTGGGAAGGAGGGCTGCAGTATCAATGGGGGAAGTGACTTACATTAATGTTTAGTGTAAATCCCTGGGCGATGGAGATCAGTGGGTGAAAAGAGAAGTACTACTTCTGAATGCCGGGACCTTCATGCAGAGGACCCTTCCCCATCCTGCCTTGATGCTTTTCCAGTCCTTAAAAGAGCTGCAAAGGAGGAAACCAAAGGGCTTAGGAAATGCCACCATCTGTCTTGCTAGATGATGATCTCTTCAGAGGTCACCCTAGTTTCTGATTAGACCCCACTCATCAGAATCGACTCCCTATTTTGTCCCTAAGGCCTAAGGACCTTTAGTAAGGGTGGACTTGCCTGTGTGTGTGTGTGTGTGTGTAGTGGTGGTGATGCCGGGGATCAAATTCAGGCCTCATTCATGCTAGGCAAGTGCCCTACCAGTGAGCTATGCCCCTAGCTTACAGACCTGCCCTCTTACAATTAATTTGGGTATAGTATACTCAGTACTGCACTTAACTATAGTGAGAAAATTTTAGGGCCCAGTCCCTGCCCAAGTAGAGCATACTATCTTACTAGTCTAGCATGCCCTTTGGTTCCACAGTAAGAACTCTGCCTTCCAGCTTATGCCTCTCATTTTTGAGAAGTTAGATAAGAGAACTACAGAATTTCATAACTACAGATTATCGGGAATTCCAATAGCAACTTATGATACCATAATATCTGATATCTGTCCTGTGGCCTAGGGAGCTTTCTGAGGGAAAGGATATGTCTAAATTGCCTGGGTCAGTTTCTTTTTCCAGACTTCAGAGTATAAATCTTGTCTCTGTCACTTACTAATCTTATGATGTCAGACAAGTAACTTAACTGCTATGCCTTATTTTTTTCTCATCTGAATGTGGGGAGGGGGGTCATTTAAAGACTAATTATATTATCCATATGAAATGTTAAGCACATTCAATAAATGTTAGCTTCAAAAAGGCAAGTAGTGCATGTCTGTAATTCCTCCAACTTGGGAGGCTGAGGCAGGAGGATTGCAAGTTTGAGGCTAGCCTCAACAATTCAGTGAGAACTTCAACTTAGTGAGACCCTTTCTCAAAATAAAAAATAAAAAGGACTGGGATGTAGTTCAGTGGTAAAACACTCCTGGATTCAATCTCCAGTACCAATTAAAAAAAAAAAAAAAAAAAGAGGAAACAGTGGTAGAGCCTGTGTAGGGCAAAAGTCATGTCCACTACAATACTGGCCTCACTTCTTTAGAGCTTGATCGCTCCTGTTTGAAAGTCTCTTTCCAAAGCCTGATTTTTATTTTGTTGGGAGGCAGTTTCTCAGGCCTTGCAGAGTCTCCTTCAGGTGGGTCTCTTCCACTACTGTGTTTCTCATGTTTTCTCAAAGTTTTGAGGACAGCTTTTTAGATAGCAGAGAATGCACTGGTTTTATGATGGATGGTAGTTTAGGAAAAGAGGAATGTACACTCCATGAGGGTAGTGGCTTTATCTTGTTCACTTCTGTATCCCCAGCGAATGGGAGTGACTGGTAATATCATGGGTGCTTTATCAATGACTGAGAAGAATCAGTGAAAGCATTATGATGATGGGACTGGGGAAATTTTCAGTGCAGTACAAGGTAGGTACTGTGGGGAGAAAAGTTGAATTTAGAACAAAGAGGGTGAAATTGTTGGAAAAGCAAGGAAAATTCTCATAGTAGTTACCATTATTACTGTTTTATATAGTTTATTGAGTGCTTATTGCCTCAATCAGTTAAATGTACTATTTTGTAATCCTTACAATTCCCTTATGAGTTAGGCACTCTTATTCCCATTTTACAGATGGGGAAACTAAGGCATTGAAAATAGAAGTTAAGGGCTGGGGTTGTAGCTCAGTGGTTGAGTGCTTGCTTGCCTGGCATGCATGAGGCACTGGGTTCGATCCTCAGCACCACATTAAAAAAAAAAAAATAAAGATACTGTGTCCATCTACAATTCAAAAATATATTTAAAAAAAGAAAGTAGAAGTTAAGCTTGGCATTGTGGTGCATGACTGTAATACCATTGGCTTGGGAGGCTTAGGCAGGAGGATCACAAGTTTGAGGCCAGCTTGGACAACTTAAAGAGGCCCTGTTTAAAAATAAAACATAAAAGGGACTGGGGATGTAGCTCAGTAAGTAGTACATACAGTGCCACTGGGTTTGAGCCCCAGTAACACAAAACAAAAGCAAAAACGAAAACAAAACAAACAAAAAAACCCTGCCTCCCAAACAAACAACAAAACAACCACCCAGAAGTTAATTAATTTGCATCCAAAGCACAAAGTGATAAAAGGGCCAAGATCCAAACTCAAGCACTCAACTGAGTGCTTGTGCTTGACCATGTTCTTTCTTTACCTGGACACTATACTAGCATGCTAACAGGTCTCTTATTCACTTAAAATAAAAACGGAGGCATGCCTGTGGGTGTGTTCAGGTCTACCTGTCTTTTTGTTCGCTTTTTCCATCTGTCCTTACATGACTGTGCCCTCCATTACAATTTCATTTCTATTGCCCAGCATGACTTCTGCATGATTTGAAAAATATGTTCTGCCTCTGGCACCAGTTCAAACCGCTGCTTGGTCACTAGCTCGCTGACTCTGGCACATTGTTTAAACTCTCTGACCTGGTTTCCTGCGATACCTGGGTTCAAATTTCGGCTCTGCCACTTAACATGTAACTTTGCGGGAAAACCCAATGGATCTGTATCTCGTTTGCCTCACTCACAAAACAGGCCCGATAATGCACGCAAAGCTCTGAGCACGGTGCCCGGCCCACAGAGCCTTCCCGGGAACGTCGGGTGGGATCGTTCCCTCAACATACCGTCCTGTGACACTCGGTCCCTATCCTTAAGGTGCCCCAGCACGCTAAGAGTGTGGGCCTAACTGCGCCGGGGAAGTGGCCGGGCTGGCGGAGGAGTGGGCCTCGAGGTGATGGGCTGGACTCAGGTGGGGTGGGAGGCTGTTTCTTCACTGAGAACCTCACGAAACCAGGAGATCCCGAGAAAGGGTGCTTCGCTGGCTCTGCACACCGTAGGTCCTCCATGAACTTGGCCACCTGCCTTTTTTCCCCCTGCTGTCGTGGCTGTCACGACAGGACCGAGCAGAGGCCGACCAACCCCAGCAAGCCCAAGGCCTTTGGCAGACGGAGACAGGCCACGCCCCAAAGAGACAGCAAGGCCCAAGCGCCTAAAGCTACTTCTATCGTGAAATTCCTGAATTCTGTCGCGATGAAACACTGCTCAACGTACAGCCTAGCACCGATCGCCGGTCTCCATCTTTAGAAATGAAAGAATGAGAGCTGGCCAAAGGGGAATCCCGGTTTTGGGAGATTAGGGTACGGCGGCTGCCTGGGGACCAAAACGTCTCTAAGGTAAAGTTGCAGCCTGAAGCGATTTTTTGACCCCCGACACTTAATGGGCTGTCGAAGACCCGGATGTGTCTGGGACTGGCCGAGGTACCCATTAACGCGCCCCCGCTGGACCATCCCCCTCCTTCGTCTAAGATTGGGCCTTATGTATGCCAGTCATCACTTCTCCAGCCACTCGTTCTTCAAGGGTGGGGTAAAGCCTAGGCATCCCATTTTTTATTGGTACGGCGAAGAAGAAAGGGGCGGAGTGGCCGGCTTGGGTCGTCCAATGGGCGTCGTGGCGTGTGGGTAAGGCGGAGCCGAGGCGCTTGGCAGCTGCCCAATCAGCGTCCTTGTTTGTGTGGTGCCGCCGCCGCCGGTGCAGCCGCCGCCGCCGCCGCTGCCCCCGTCTGTACCGCAGTGTCTGCTCCGCCCGCCTGCCCCGGTCCGGCCCGCCCCCCTCCCCCACCCCCGTCCCTCCTCCCGTCAGCGGGATCCGGAGCCCACTGTGCGGTCGCCTTTTCCTTTTTCGACGCCTCCGCCGCCGCCTGAGGAGGCGAGCTAGCCGGGAGTTACACCGCCACCGCCAGGTGAGGAGCCTTGGCCTAGGCCAGCCTGGCCGTCCGCCCGCCCGGGGGCGGTGAGGAGCGAGGAAGGGAGGGAGGCTGGGAGGAGGCGGTGGTGGCGGAGGTGGGGGAAGGGAAAGGTGGAGGGGCGGGGGGAGGGGAAGCGCCCGCGAGCCGACGCCCGCCCGCGCGCCCCCGCCTTGCGTCCCCCTCCCCCCACCCCGGCACCGCGCGCCCCCGCCTCGCGCTCCCCCTTCACCTCATCCCCTCCCCCTCTCCGCGCGCGCTCCCCGGTCTTTCGCTTCGCCCTCGCGCGCCCCCAGCTCGTGTCCCTTCATTTCATCTCCTTTTACTCTTTCTCCCCTCCCTCGCGCCCCGTTTCCCCCGCCATCCCCGCTTTCACTCACTACCTCATGCCCGCCATGCTCCCCTCCTTTCCTCCCTAGCGCGCCCCCCCCTTTAACTCTCTCCACCCCCAGTGGTGCCCTCAGGGTGCGGGGGCCGCTCCCTGCTCTCGGTCTTGTGTGTGACGGCGAATGGGACAAATGGGGGATCCTTAAGGGTGAAGGAAGCAAAGGGTGATCCTCATTATTTAGGGAAAGGGATTGCGAGCGCAGAGCCTGACCCTTTATTTCGTCGTCCACCGTTTCCTCGCCGTCCCGTAGGAGGGAATTGTCTCAGCCTGTGTGGATACTTATCTTCTAGAGCGACTAAGCCGCCCGTTTTCTCGGCTTGGCTGCTGGGACACGCCGGACCTCTTTCCCAGTGCAGTGCCCGAGGGTCGAGGAAGCTAGAACTTACCCTTCCCCAGCCCGACCGGGACTTGGAGTACTTTTTGCCGTCCTGCTCCTAATTGCGCTAAGGTGCTAGCTACTTTTGCTTATGCGGAGGTTTAGATGCCACTTGCGACCCAGGGCAACCTTCTTCCCTCATAAAGGTGTTGTAGCTTCTTTGGGTTCTTCCCCAGCATCAACTTTCCTCAAAACACAAGGTGTTAGCTCATAGGGATGGCGCTAAGGTGGAGATGGGGGCATTGATGGTGGGTGGCCTGTGGATGCTGAGTTAGAGATCAGTCTTCTTTTGCTGTCCTCTGGCGAATCAGGTAGCCTCTTGAGAACGTTTTCTCATCTGATAAATGATTATTTGGAGGGCTTTTGTGTGTGTGTGAGATAAGTGGGGATGCTTACTGTATTTTAGCAAAGAGAAAGCAGTGTTTTCAGTCCAGACTGCAAAAGAGAGATTTGGACTGGTAACTGATGGAGTAAAGCAGGCTTTACAGATCCTAGTTGGAGAAGAACTGATGCATTTGTAGGTTAAGAACCTTTCTAAATTATATTTTGAATAGATAGTGCATGCATGTGGTACAAAATCAAACCTTTCCTCCTGTCCTGCACCACGCCAGCCCTCTCCTAGTGCGCAGGATTTCTGTATTTTCTAGCAACACTATGGTATCTGTATGTTGGAAATTAGCCTGTGTGGGAATTTAGTGCTGACTTTATTGTTCTTTCTTTACCGTACTGACCTAAACTCTCCCTTGAAGTCTGATAACCACTTGGATTCATATTTTTTGATGCTGGAGCATTCTTGATAAGAATATTGTACTAGAGTATCATTTTTGTTTCTTGGGAAGGAGGCTGCTTCTGGGGTTGTAAAAGTGGTGCTATGGAGGGTTTCAGTATATTTTGAGGGAAGGCCCACACCTGTTGGAAATGGTTTTCTTTCTTTTTTTTTTTTTTTTTGGTGGTGGTGGTGATTCTCCCCACCCCCACATCTGAAACCCAGTCTCTGGCTGTTGAGGGTAGGTTAGGTGAGGATATGCTTTCCTTGGGCTTTTTAAAGTAGATCAATTGTATGAATAATTAGTTAACGGTGAGTTAATTAGTTAACAGGGAGTATTGATCTGCTAGGGCTGTCAGTTTTTAGAGGAAATATAGTTTGTAGGCTAGAGACAGTGATAGTCATCACGAATTGGGTATGTAAGTATTAATCAGCAAGAATCAGAAGGCTCAACCTGTAGGTTGAGTGACCCAGTTTGAGAAGAGGTTTATAGACTTTTGTCCTATTATCCTTAGTTGAGAACATACTTGATGAGGTGAGAGTGATTTCTGGTTGACAGCAGCATCCATCTTTATGACACTGTGGTTTGCCTCCCCTGACTGTGTGTGATGTCTGTTAACTTCCTGTTTAGAGGCTTTGGAAATATGGTCTGAATAGAGGTTGCTTTCAGATACTTGTCTAGAAACAATGTTAACCAGGTTGCCTGATGCACCCTTCAAATCCAAGTTCTGGCAGCAACTTTTGCAAATGCTGTGCTTAGCATAGGTTCATAGGGTTGTGGGAGAAGTGTGAGGAATTTGTTCTGAACCTCATAGCCTTGAGGTACTTTCAAAAGGGAATCTACCTCCCACCTTTTTGGGGGGTGGGGTGGGATGGGGGAGTGTTTCCAGCTGGGCCAGGCTAGACCAATCAGTTGGGTTTTGGTTAGAAAATAGCAGAAAATGGAAGAGGTATCATTGTGTCCATGAAAGTATCCTAATCATATGCTGGGACCTCTGGATTTATCTTAGCTTTAATCAGTGTGTCTTATATGTTGTATGTAAAGCAGGCCTCTTATTTCAATTTACTGATTGATTTTTCCTTCCTTTTCTCCCTCACCTACCAAGCTGAAAGTGTATGTGTAGGGAAACAGCAGCTGTGCTGTCCTGGTTTCTAGACTCTGGAGCTTATTCCATGTTAGCCACCCCATTGGGAGTCATGCTGACAAGCAGCCCCTCTGCACTTAGTCAGAAGGCCCATGTTGCTTGGCTCATTGAGAAAAGCCAAACCAGCTTTGGTTGATTAAAACAACTGCTAGAGAAATTGTAAGATTTGAGCCATAACTGCGACCCAGGGACTCTCTTTTCCAGACCTTTGCAGTACTTAAAGCTTTGCATCATTACATCTCAAGGCCCAATAGCCAGATATTTTCTGGGAAGGTTTGGAGGGAAATAAGGGGGGGGGGGAGACACACACCCAGTTGGCTATAAATCTAACCTTGGGGAAAAGCTGTCCACCTCTTGCTGGAGAAAAATCCAACCTATCAGACAATGCCACACAAAGTTGCAGTTCCCCTGCTGTTGGCTAAGCATGGGAAAAGATACATGAGGAAGTTCTGTTTCTGTTGAAAAGGACTGGCTTTGGGGGGAGGAAGCTTCTGTTAGCCCTGTTGTTTGCTTTATCCCAATAGTCTGTGACCCTTTTTCTATAGGTGCTGTTTGGGGATTTTGGTGGCTCCAGAATCCATGAGGCAGGGAATTACATTTCTGTGTAGTGGTGATGAAAGTTTCTGAAGCATAGGTCTGTTTTGAAATGGTTCCCTTCTCATTTTCTACCTTTTACCTTCTTCCTTGTGGATGTATAAAATATTCCTGTACAGCTTGAGTTCGTCAAGCAGGAGAGCATGATCCATGGTCATTAGGGCTTAACCTGTCTGAAGTGTTTCTTAGATGGTGGTTCAGTAATGTTTGGTGTCTCCCTCAAACCCCTGTAACCTATGCCACTGTCTTAAGTTGCTATCAACTGGAAAGCAGCTATGAAGAGTTTGATTTGTAGCACCAAAAGCAACAGATGAAAAGTGACACATATTTTGTTACTTTTGAGGTATGAAATATTCAAATGCCAGATCTTCCAAAAATCATAGTAATCTCAGAAGCATCCTTTTAACAACATCTGGACTTAATTGTTTATATTAACAAGTGAACTTCGAAAGAAATTAAGGAAAATGATAATAATTTTATATTCCTGAGACATTTCTTGTTGCTTTTCATACCTGGCTAGCATACTTATGTATTATTTATTTTTAATAATGGTATTGGGGCTTAAACCCAGGATGTAGTTCAAATGAACTACAATTCCCAGCCTTTTTGTTTTGTTTTGTTTTTAAGGCAGGGTCCTGTTCAACTGCCAGTGCTAGTCTCCAACTTGTGATCCTCCTGTCTCAGCCTCCCAAGTAGCTGAGGTTCCAAAGCTACAGTCTGCGTTTAAAAGATAATTCCGTGGGGTTGGAGTTGTAGCTCAGCTGTACAGCGTTTGCCTAGCACGGGTGAGGCGCTGGGTTTGATCCTCAGCACCACATGCAAATAAAATAAAGGTTTTGTGTCCATCTACAACTAAAAATATTAAAAAAAAAAATCCAGGTTATCTGAATCTGGAAGGCTTACTTTAAGTCTCCTGTTCAAAACTTTTTTGTAGGTGGTGGGGTGAGTAATTAGGAATTGAGCTAAAGGGTGCTTTACCACTGAGCTACATCCCCAGCCCTTTTTACTTTTTTAAGACAGGATCTCATAAAGTTGCTGAGGGTCTAAGTTGCCCAGGCTGGCCTCGAACTTTTGCCTCAGCCTACGGAGTCGCTGGAATTACAGGCATCCGCCACTGTGCCCAGCGAAAGTCACCTTTTCAATGAGGCCTTAAAATTGTACCTAAGTCTAGATTTCACCTGTGATAGTCCTTCCCTGCTTTTATTTTTGTCCCATAACATTTAATAATATATTTATTTGTTACATTTGTTGCTTATTGGTCCCTCTTCTATGATATTAAACCTTTAAAAGCGTGGATTCATATCCATGGCATTTATTTTGGTATTTTATTTAGTGCTAGCATATAGTTAATACTTAATAAATATTTGTGGATCAAATAGGAATAATAACCTGTTCTCCTAACCTCATGTTTGTTTATAACAAAATATGAAATGTGATAAGCATAACATGGGATCTTAAAATCCTTTTGTCTCAGCCTTTTAAGTAGCTGGAATTACAGGTGTGCACTATCCTGCCTGGCCTGTCACTTTTCAATCTATAGTTTCTTTATTTTCACTGCTGGTCTCTTAGTTCAGACCCACAGCAACTCTTATTTGGAATTTTGCCTGCCATAATTTCTTGCAGTTTTTCGTATTTTTTTCCTTTTGAACTCTCATTATATTGTCTTCAAAATAGTCTTAAAGATATCTGATTCTTCTTCTTCACCTTCTTACAAGTATTCAAGTTTCC